TATCTAGTGTCCAGAATCTGACATTTCCAAAGTTATCGCAGTGTTTTGCCACCACCATAAATTGCAGCCATTTTTGACAGCCATTGGATGACAGTAACTTGGGCGTCAAGTAAATCAAATCTCTGCACATATAGTGTCGAGCCTAAATTCGCCATTTTGGATTTTGCTCATTCTTGGGTGCACATGATGTACTGATTATATTTCTAGATAGTCAGCTGTCAGGTGGTTCAAAGCAAATAGCAGAGGTAGTAGGCATTTTAATCAGATAGCATAGCCTTACACTTCCTCTATTTTGGTAAGAGAGCGGTAGAATGCCGAGCGATAGTGTGACTGAACAGTGCGTAAGAGGTCGGCTTGGAACGAGAACCATCTCTCCCACGTTCTTCATCACAAATAAACACGTTCTCAAGGTACATGAATCCTTCCACTGTTTCTTTGTTTATCCGCAGAGAGCAACGAAAAGAAGAACCCGAAAGCACTAGGATTTTCGTTTTAGACGCGTTCACACCCATACCGGTCACGTCGCACTCGGCTGCGAACCTTTCCGGAGATCGCTGAAGATCAGTTTCAGAAAATGCTAGCAAAGCAAGGTCGTTGGCAAACAACAACCATCTCGACATTTTCTTCATTGATAGATTCATCGCCTTGGCTGCGCCTGATTAGTCGATCCATGCATGACACAGACAGGGGAAGGGTCAGAATGCAGTCTATAGACCAACGCCAACGCTGAAAATTTTTTGACTTAGCGCAGTTTATTCTGACTCAGCATCAACATATTCTTCCAGGATCTTCGGCCTTTTGAAGTTGGTTTCTTTCGTGATCGTACGTTTCTTCTTCTTCGCATCATCATGTTCGGCGCAGTTCTTAAGTATGAAAAGTTCTTTTTATCTCATCTGCTGATATCTTTGTATCCATGTAGACGGATTAACACAGGTTATGCGTATATGACAGACCTCCGAGGGGGATCTGGTCGGTTTCTTACCCTCAGCACACCGTAGATATGTAGCCATGTGAAGATAATCACCCACCAGTTTCAAGAATGAGAACTTTCAACGCGCCCCAAGAACAGTACTATTTCTCTCATCGTTCGTGCAGTCTTTTTTCATATGTTCTCCTGCCCCTGGCAAGGACCGGTCCGCGCGTTCCGTCCAATTTATGCGAACCGCATCCGGTCCTCGCCTTCCCACGATCGTTTCACTGACCAGTATTAAAAAGGAGCCGGCATTTTATCGCCGTTTATATTTGAGGTGTCGCTTTCCCACGGTCTTTCCGTACGATCCGAGAAATTGGGGATTGTGTCTTACGATCTGCTACGCTTATTAATGTGAAATTATGCAGATAGTGTCTGCGCAAACGACTTATGGAAATATTGTAGTACAGTCTAATGAAAGTTGAACTAAAGCGAAAGCTGAAAATAATTCCCAAAACAGACTTTAGAAGCTGATTTTTCTTTGTGATTTCTTAAGGAATTTAAATAAAGGAAGCAAACGGTTCGTTAGTGGGTATGAGACGGCATATACAACTGGCCAGTTTCGTGTACAAAACGTATTTTGCTAAAAACAAGAGAATCGCATAT